GAGAAATAACACCGATAAAGTCCCGGGGAAGCACCACCCAATCAAAAATTTGGCTGCGGGCCTTTTGGGGCGCCCTGGAAAAACCTGAGCCCCGCTTTCCGATCCCCCTTAAAAGGGAAAATGGGTTTCAAGAAAACTGTACACCGTGTTTTGTCAGGCCCATACTGGGGATGGCCACCTTTTTGGGAAACCCCGGGAAACTTGATAAAGCACGTAAAGAAACTAAAAAAGGGACAAAGGTTTGCCAAAAGGGTTTGTTCCAGAGCTAAGGGGAATGTCCTATAAAAAAAGTTTAAAGGGGGAAATTTCGGCCTGACGACACTGGGGGACAGGAGGTCGGGGGAGACATGAAAAACGACAATAAAAACTGCGGGGGAATAACAAGGGGGACAAAGACGGGAATTTCCAGGGGGGGGACACAGAAAAAAAGAGGCCGCAATTGGAAGTTGAAGACAAAAAATGAGTCAGAGAGATATTAGGAAGAAATTTCTTCGTCATGGGAGTTGTAAGGCAGGGGAATAGCCGGGAAAAGGGACGAAAAGGGGAAAGGGGGAAACCCAAAACCAGTTTTAAGACGAGTTTGAAAAAGCCGGAGCGGGGAAAAAGGGGGGGCCCCCAGTAGAAACGTAAAAGGGGCGGGGCCAGGACTAAGCCCGGGCCCCTGCAACCACAAAATGTGAGTAAACACACCACACACACCCCCACACACCACACACAACACACCCCACAAAACCAAAATGCAAGGGGGGCGGGAAGGAGGGGTTTTGAAACCCAAGGGCCAGGTTTAATGAAAAACCCCGGGAATGGGGGCCCAGGGTTTTTTCCCCAAAAAGGTTGCAGGGAGGAAAAACCAAGTGTGCAGGGAATGGAAGAAATATAAAGCAAAGGACCCGGAGAATAAGGAGAAAATCGTAAGCCAAAACAAATATGCCCAAAAAGAAGGGGGGGCCCAAAAAGCCCATTTGAAAAGGACATAGCAGCGAAACCCAAAAACCGACCCAAAAACCTTTTGTACACCCCCCATCAGGAGGAAAACAACAGTCAAGGACCAGGTAATAAAGGCAAAGGGAAGGAAGGAGGAGAGACAACAAAAAATTTTGGCCGTGAATTTTTTTGAAAAAATCAAAAAAGGAATTAAAAGAAGTTTTTACCAAGGAGACGAAGGGACCCAGAAAGACGGAGAGTGGGGGCACACCACCAAGTGCGGGAAACACAGTGCACACCCCAAAACCCAGGAAGAAGTGAAAGGCTTCTGAGGGGCTAGATACCTCAAAGGGAATGGGGCCCCGATAACATCTCCCCCTGGGTATTGAGAGAGGAGCAAGGCCCCTATGGGTAAACCCCCAACAAAAAATTCAATACATCTATCGAAACAGGGAGATTGCCTGAGGCAGGAAACGCAAATGTAGTCCCCAAACTTTTTAAAAAAAGGGGACAGAAAATGAAGCATTAAAAATACGACCAGGTTTACTGACCCTGTATAGTAAACAAAATCATGGAGAAAATTATCAGGGGAAGAGTGGGGAACCCCTTAAAAAGGGAAAGATCTCAAAAACAGCAGCCAAAATGGTTTATCAGGGGGCGGGAAATCCCGTGTCACAAACCTACTGGGGTCTATACAAGGTGACCCGCAAAAAGACAAGAGAGAGAGGGGGGGGGGATTTTCCCTTTTCTTTGGGCTGCAAGGGAAGGGGGGTTTGACACAGTTCCCCACAAGAGATTTTGGGGGGCAAAAAAATGGAGGACCAACGGGGTTAAAAGGGAAGGCCCCTAAAATGGATCAGGGGAAAACTTGTCCCGGAAGACAGGGAGCGAGTCATTGGAAAGTGGGGAGGGGGTCAGAGTGGGGACCTTTTGACCAGCGGGGTCCCACAGGGGCAGTCCAGGAAACCCGTGCTTTTTCCCGGGATTTGTGAACGCCCTGACGGAAGGAATAGACTCTGAGGGTCCCTGTTTCAGATGACGTGAAGTTTAAAGAAAGAAATTTCCCGTCGATCAAGAAAAAGGGAGAACTACAAAGGGATCTGGACAAAGGGTGCAGACCTGGTCCCGCAAATTGGGCCCCGGATTTTAATCCCACCCAAGGGGCAAAGTCATGAAGATTGGGGAAAAGGGGAAGAAGACCGCAGACGGGGTACAGTCTAGGGGGGCCCCGAGACTACCAAAAACCCCACTTTAGGAAAAAGATCTTTTGGGGGGAGTATAACACCAGGGCCCCATCTCCTGAAAACGACCCCTCCCAACCCAAAAAAAACTGCTGCAAAAATGGGCCCCCTAGCAAACCTCCCGAAAAAGCATTTCCCACATCTTAAAAAGGAATCGCAGGGGCCCGTAAAAAGTGTACGGGTTTGGGCCCCTATTTGGGGAAACGGCACCCAGTTTGGAAACCCCCACCTAGCCAAACCAAAGTAAAGAAACTAAGTAAGGCAAAGGTTTTTTAACAAGACTAAATCCCAAAAGCTAAGAGGTAAATTTCCCACGAGGAGAGGTTTAAAAAAATCAACCTGAAGACACGGGGGACAGGAAATAGGGGGGACATATAACGAATACAAAATACTGAGGGGAATTTGACAAGGTACAAAGACAGGATTTCCAGAGATTGGACACAGTAAAAAGGGGGGGACAGTTGGAATTTAAAAGACACAGATGAATCACAGGGAGTTGGGAAAGTATTTCTTCAGCCACAAAAAGTCCCCAGTAAGTGGAATATTGGGAAGCGATGTAGGGGAGCGGATCCTTATACTTTAAGCAGAGGATGATAAAGCTCACGGTTTAGGGAGAGTGACCTAGTAGCGATCTGAAGAGGCGGGGCCAGGGGCTGGACTCGACCCCCCGCAACCTAACTAGGGGATACAATAGTGAGTACAACTAGGTGGTACACAACACACACCCCACACACACCACACCACACACAACACACACACACACACACACACACACACACACACACAACACACCACAACACACACCCCCCCACACACACACACCCCCACACCCACCACACCACACACCACACACACACACACCACCACACACACACCACAACAACACACACACCACACCACACCCAACACCCCAACCACAACCCCCACACAACATACCACCACACACACACCACAAAAACACACACACCACACACAACACACCACACACAACACCACCACACACACCACAACCCCCAAAAACCCCAACACACCACACCAAAACCCCACACACACCACACACACACCACCACACACCACACACAACCCCCACACACCACACACCCCACACAACCACAACACACCCACACACACCACACACACACCACAAACCCAACACACGCCAACACCCACACACACACACCACACACAAACCCCAAAACACACCCCACACACCCCCAACCCCACACACCCCACACCCCCACACAACCACACACACCACACACACCACACACACCACAACACACCCCACACACCACACCCCACCACACACACCACACACACACACCCCACCCCACACCCCAAAAACAAAACCCCACACACCCCACCACCCCACACCCCCCACACCACACACACACACCACCACACACACACCCACACACACACAACCCCACCCCAACCACACACACCCCACCACACACACCCCCCAAACCCCACACACACACCACACACACACACCACACACACAACCCCCCACACACCCCACACACACACACCCACACACACCACCCACCCACACCACACACACCCAAACACAACACCACAACCACACACACACACACACACAACACACAACACACACACACACCAACACAACACACAAACACAAAAAACCTACACACAAAACACAACACACACACACACACACACAACACCACACAACCACACACACACTCACACCACACAAAACACACACTATTCCCCCCATTAGGAAAGATGATTGCGGGTGAAGTCACTATGTTAATTTTTAAAATTTGGGTTTACTAGTGTTAGTGTATTATGAATTGGTTTAGTGTGTAGTGCAAGTTACAGGTTTGTGGGTGGACCTGCACTGGTTACTATGTTAAGGATGGGTCATGCCTAGTAACTAGTGTTATAGCTAGGTTTTACAAAGACTCACAGTGGATGGCATGGTCTTAAAAGTCTCATTACTACTCTGAATCACTGATCCACTGTTTGTCAACTCTTATCATCTATACGTACTTCCACTCGCACTATATTTGAAGCATGAGGGTTTTTTTTTTTATCCTCCGAATTTGCTGCACAGATCTACCATGTATGGTAATCAGGTTTGGTCCTAGAAACAGGATAGGTCCTAATATGTAGACTGCAATATAATTTTGGTTTATTATGAACTGTCTTCATATATACCAAATACTCCACTGATATCTGTGTTTTTCTAAACAAGTTTTGAAATGGCATTAATTACCTGCAAAGTCTGTTTTAATAGTCCTTGAAAATCTTTCTTATTCAATTACTTGGATGATGGCTCTTTACCAGTATGAGGGCACTTCTCTTGAAGGGTGATCTATGACAAGTATAGTAGGCGAGAGATTAACAGTATCAGACACAGGGAGCAGAACCTTGTATTAGACGACATTTCTCTCTTAACGCTCCTTTATATAGACAATAAAGTTTCGTTAAATGCTTTATTAAGACAAAGTTTTACCTAGGGCTTTAAAAAGATTATAAAGTCTTAAGTGTTTATCATGTCATGGTAAATAATAAAAAATTAATTAATCTGCATATTTCAAATTGTATATTTTGACTCCCTGTTGGGACCCCAGCAGGGAGTTGAAATATACATTTAATCTCCTGAGTTTCTGTCTTCATATAGGTTATTTTGAGCATTGACATGACACTTTCTTTAGCTATTCATTTATCTAGTTGATAAAGCACTGTTAAGGATAAAACATGATGTATTAATCAGTCTCTGCTACCTTCGACTCGACTGCTGCACAGACAACAATTTATTTTCTATTGTAATTTTTGTAATTTTTTTTGTTTTTGTTTTTGCAGGTACACAACCCCTTACTCAGGAGTGCTTCATATTACTCACGTACAGAGGTCTGACAGTGGTATTTACAGGTGAGTGAGTCTTCTGCACAGTCTTAGACTGCTATGTTCTAATGGAAGCATTAAACTCGGATGAGTCACATTATGCATTAATGGAAAAGTTCCAGACTTGTAGGGTTTATGTAGTGCATATGGATTGGGAGATAATCATGTGTGTTCCAAGGAAAAGGAGGGTAGCTTCAATTCCTTCAATTCATTGAGGTACTCTCTTGACCATTAAAGGATGTTTATTGCACATATTCCACATCACATGAAAAAGATGAATTTTTTTAAGTTTATTTTTAGTTTCAAATTGTTTATAATTGTGTATAATTTACAGTATGTACTTGTATTATGACAACTCTACTTAAAAAAGTTGATGCAGTAAAATGGTGTATGTGACCATGCAGGTGCCTGGCGATCAACACTGTTGCCGGGAAGGAACGTCGCAGCAGTGCCATTACTGTGACAGTTCTTGATAGGGGAGAGGAAGACAGCTATAAACCCCCTACCTTCCTCTTCCCCAACAAATCCTCCTCCTCCTCCAGTAAACTACTGAAAGTTATCCAGGGAGAACATGCAATCATTGAGTGTCTTGCAACAGGTCTCCCACTACCCACAATCTCTTGGCAACGAAAATGTAAGTTTCAATATGCTTATTGTAATTATTATATTATTATAATTATTACTGTATTCACAAGAAAGCACTAAAGATTGATTGTGTCATACAACACCAAAGTTTTGCATAAAGTATCAAAGGACACAGCACATCTTTTGAAAAACTGCAGTAAATGTTAGTCATAATCTACAAGGTGTTAGATGGCAGGTATTGATGACAAGTATGGGAGCTGCTTGGTGCACAACAAACCTTTATTATAGAGTATGTTTCATTCTGGGTAGAGCTTTATCAAGTTGTGCAAGGACTAATGCAGCAGGACATTATAGATGAATGAAGTGAAAATTGTGGCTAACAAGTAGGCCAGAGGCATGTGTTATCTGTAGCAGTGATGTGTGTGGATGTCTATGTCTACTTTTTCCATTTTCCTGAGTAAGATGAATTTGGCAAGTGGCTTGGCATTTTGAAATGCCCTTTGATTCAGATATTTATTGTGTTGAAAGTGTACAAGATTGCTACCTCCCAACCTTCTGATCCTCTTATCTTTTTTTTTTATGATGAATTCTAAGCATAGCCTGTCTTAGAGATATGCATGTTTGTTTCTGTGAATAACACATGCATTGTTCAAGGTGAGTGTGTTACACAAATACTTGCATTAAATTTTTCTGGTGTGTAGGCTGCATGCTGTTTCACTACTGTAGAGATTATCACACCCTTTGCATGGGATCTTGTACACACCTGCTTGTGTTGTGGCGGTTGGCGTTTGGGCTGGTCAGGTGGCATATGGATTTAAATATGGCTGCCACATTGGTATTGCTTTAAGAGCTGAGAGCTTGAGTTATGTTGTCGTTTATGCTGCCAGTAGGTAATATGACGCACTGGTGGTTGTGTGTGTTCACCCCAGGACTGTTGATATACAGTAGCTCTGCCCATACCAAGTCTCATCCATGATAAAGATGTATTCTGTATCAATTGTTTATCAGGCAGTGAGGTGCATTTTCTGCATAATAATGGCCTCTTAAATTGATATTTTTGTACGGTATTAATTATTTCATTCAAAGGGTGGGGTAGTGTTAAACCCATCAGGGTTATACAGTGTTTGGGGATGAGAGGCAATCAGATTTGATCAAATAAAGGGGAAGGTCAGTTCCATTTCTTTGCACAAGGAGTCCTTCACTGTCATCAAGACTTTTCTTGAAGATGTTTAGTCTTAAACAAGAAAAGTTGAGACTTCCTTGGAGAGCTAGAATGGGAACCTGTTGAGGGTATAAGAGAAGCAATATCAGTTCGATAATACTAGTAGAATTATTACTGTGTGTTCATGGAGAAATACTGAATCCATGAGGGTCATACAACACCTGTGTATACTGGTAGGAATATGTAATATATTTACTTAGTGGTAGTATAATGGCAGATGCCATTATACTACCACTAAGTAAATTTCACTTAGTGAAATCAATTGCATTGTTATATTGACAGTGAAGCAATAAACTCATAAGGGTCATGCAGCATCTGAGGAATTGGGAGGTTTGATCCTAGAACAAGGAGGGCACCTCTTTTTCCTCTGATCAAGAGTTCTTCATCAGCACCCTTCTTGAAGGAAAAAATAATTAAAACTGTTTGTTTTATAGTTGAATTGTAAACCAAAATTACTAATGAGAGAGCTCCATCCATGTAATAAATCAATAAGTGAATCAAATAGTATTAGAAACAGCTTACCTGGTTGACCAGGTGAGGACAAGATAACCTTGGCCCAGGGCCAGGCTCTGGGAGTAAGGGAAACTCAAAACACACTGGCTTTCTTCCACCAGTGCAGGATGTCCAGTGAAAGAAGACACTTTCACTGTCATTCACTCAATCACTGTCTTCCCAAAAACATGCTGACATAACAGCTCTGAGTACCCAACCACATCATTCCCATCCCTCCTTCAGGGTGGGGATGCTAGACCTGTAGGGAAGGTCTTGGTTGTTTAGGTTATCACAAGTGGGCATTAAGACTCAGAGGTAATCATGTTTAATCCAAGGATGGGGAGGATAGCTCCAATTCCTTGGATCCAGAGCATTTCACTGGTCTTTGGGATATATATATGTACAGTGGACCCCCACTTTACGATCAGCTCCCAATGCGACCAATTATGTAAGTGCATTTATGTAAGTGCATTTGTACATGTATGTTTGGGGGTCTGAAATGGACTAATCTACTTCACAATATTCCTTATGGGAACAAATTCGTTCAGTACTGGCACCTGAACATACTTCTGGAATGAAATAATATCGTAAACCGGGGGTCCACTGTATTTGATAAAGATTTTGACCACTATAATGTTGAGTCATCTCAAAGGGCATTTCAGTTTTTATGTATTTATAATAGCTGTTACATATCTTTTATGTTTAGTTTTGTCAGATGCATTCTAGCCCATGATGGCACACACATCAGATTTACATGAGGTGAACTTCACATTTTTTTGACAGATATTTACTAAAAACTACAAGTTTACCACACATGCACATAATACTCATATTACAAAAAGAAACTAATTTGATCCAAAACACTGAGGAAAAATTAAAATCCAAAATGATATAATACTCCCTATACAATTAACAGGCATACCTGTGACTGGTTCCTCTTTCCTCTGCTCCGAGTCCTTACATAATTCATGCTAGTTCAGGCATGGGCCCAATTTTCTTTTGACTTGCTGCAAGATTCTTAAACTGAAAGTGAGTCATGGGAATTCATTCAAAATATGCTCGTTAAATTGCCTGTGTCCAGGTTTTTATTTTATATTATTTCTCATAAATATCAACATTAAGCAGTTTAGAGTGATAGAGACATTGACTCACAAAATTGTTGACTGTAAGCATTTCATGGAATGGAGAAATGGAACCCAAGGTAAGGGAATCCTGGCCTGCTAGTTTTGAACTGGCTTGCCTTGGGTTCCAACCCTCTGTTCACCGAGTCGTTAAAGTGACATTGTTGATAAATTTAGTGGTACTGGGTTTGGATAATTGCATTATTATTAAATTTATTGGGCCCAAAGCCAGGCTCTTGGAGTAGAAAAACTCATAAAATTCATCAATGGGATAAGCTCTTAAACAAATACCTGAGGGAAGGGAGGCAGTCACATTGCATACAGTGAATGGTGTTGGTCCAATTCCTTTTATCAAGAGCCTCTCACTGGCATCGAGGGGTGAGTGACACATAAGAGTGAATTTATACTGCACATAGCGAGTTACTGAACCAGTAAGTATTGGGTCATCACACAACTTCAACTTTACATAAAGGCAAAAACTGTATAAAGTGAAGGAAACCTGCATTGATAGAGTTTGTGAATGTATTTGTCATAAATTTCTATGTACTGTACTGTATGTATCTGAAATGGAATTCTCTTATATTTAATTAAATATTTTATTGTTTACAGTGAATGCAAGTGAGGGTGATGTGTGGGAGGACATCAAAAATGGAACCAAGGGTATGTTGGTGATAGGTCAGGGAACCTTGGTGGTGTCGAGTGTGCAGACCAGCAGTGCTGGCCGATATATCTGTACTGCCAAGTCTGTAAACTCTGCCACCCAGAGAGAAGCAACTATATCTCAGGTAATGTTAATATTCCTTTTGTAATGGACTCAGCTATACACTAACCATACTGCTTAAAACCTTGGAATAGTCCACGTTAAAAAGAAGTACAGTGGACCCCCGGTTCATGTTATTAATCCGTTCCTGAGAGCTCATCGTAAAGCAAAATTATCGGAAAGCGAATCAATTTTTCTCATAAGAAATAATGGAAATCAAATTAATCCGTGCAAGACACCCAAAAGTATGAAAAAAAACTTTTACCTTTAATGAAGATCTGGTGATGATTGATGGGATGGGAGGAGGGGAGAGTGTCGAAGTTTTTAATGTTTAGAAGGCGAATCTCCCTCCATTAGGACTTGAGGTAGCAAGTCCTTTTCCGGGGTTACTTCCCTTCTTCTTTTAATGCCACTAGGACCAGCTTGAGAGTCGCTGGACTTCTGTCGCACAACATATCTGTCCATAGAGGCCTGTACCTCTCGTTCCTTTATGACTTTCCTAAAGTGGTTCACAACATTGTCAGTGTAATAGTCACCAGCACGGCTTGCAATAGCTGTGTTAGGGTGATTTTCATCCATAAAGGTTTGCAGTTCAACCCACTGTGCACACATTTCCTTAATTTTTGAATAGGCACAATGGATTCCACAACTGGCATAGGCTTCTCAGGGTTAGCCCCAAACCCTTCAAAATCTTTCTTAATTTCCATACTAATTCTCACCCTTTTTACCACAGGGTTGGCACTAGAAGCTTTCTTGGGGCCCATGGTGGCTTATTTTGCAGAAACAAGCACCAAAAACAGTGATAATATGGATAATATGGAATGTACCGAATGTATCCTTAGATGTGCGCACACTGGCTGGCTTGTAAACACTGGCACACACAGGGCAGTTCAGACCACACGTGGACACGTCTTGTACAAATCGTATCGCATACCATGTTTTATAACGGGAACCGAGGCAAATTTTTTGTGATATAATGCTTCGGATGCCGGATTTATCGGATACCGATGACTTCGCGAACCGGGGGTCCACTGTACATGTACAGTGGAACCTCGCCTAACGAACGCATTGCATAACGTTAAATCCGCCTAGCGATACATTTTAACGCAAAAATTTTGCCTCGGCTAGCGCTAAAAAACTCGCTCAACGCGGTTTGTTCGAGACGCGTCCACGTGCGGCCTGAGCCCGCCTCACTTGTTCCTTGGGTGCCAGTGTTTACAAGCCAGCCACCACGGTCGCTTCCAAGCATACAATCAGAACATATCATATTATCACAGCCTTTTTAGTGATTGCACCTGCAAAATAAGTCACCATGGGCCCCAAGAAAGCTTCTAGTGCCAACCCTACAGCAAAAAGAGTGAGAATTGCTATGGATATGAAGAAAGAGATCATCGCTAAGTATGAAAGAGGAGTGCGTGTCTCCGAGCTGGCCACGTTGTACACAAAACCCCAATCACCATTGCTACTATTTGGGCCAAGAAAACGGCAGTAAAGGAAGCTGTTCTTGCCAAAGGTGCAACTTTGTTTTCGAAACAGAGATTGCAAGTGATAGAAGATTTTTGAGAGACTGTTATTGGTGTGGATAAACGAAAAACAGATAGCAGGAGATAGCATCTCTTAAGCGATCATATGTGAAAAGGCTAGGAAGTTGCATGAGGATTTAATTAAAAAAATGCCTGCAACTAGTGATGATGTGAGGAATTTAAGGCCAACAAGGTGGTTTGAGAGATTTAAGAATCGTAGTGAAATACATAGGTGATAAGGCATGGTGAGGCTGCCAGTTCGGACCACAAAGCGCTGAAAAATATGTGCAGGAAATTCAAGGAGTACATAGACAGTGAAGGACTGAAGCCGAACAAGTGTTTAATTGTGACAAAACAGGCCTGTATTTTGGAAGAAAATGCCAAAAAGGACGTACATTACTCAGGAGGAAAGGCACCCCTCCCAGGGCATAAGCCATGAAAGACAGGCTTACTCTGTTGATGTGGGGCCAAAAGCAGTGGTGATTACAAAGTGAAGCCTTTTTTGGTGTATCACCTGAAACTCCCAGAGTGTTCAGGAAAAACAATGTCCTCAAGGCTAATTTGTTTTTGCTGTGGAGGGGAAACAGTAAGGCATGGGTCACTAGGACTTTTTCTATGACTGGTTACAACCATGCCCTTTGCCCTCACTGTGAAAAATTTCCTAATTGAAAAGAAATTAGACATTAAGTGCCTCCTGGGATTAGACAATGCTCCTGTCACCTTCAGACGTGGCAGAGCGACTTTCTGCGGAAATGAGCTTCATTAAGGTCAAGTTTTTGCCTCCAAGTACCACTCCTCTCCTGCAGGCCCCATGGACCACAGGTCATTTCCAACTTTAAGAAACTGTACACAAAAGCTATGTTTGAAAGGTGCTTGTAGTGCCCCCAGAAACTCACTGACTCTAAAGAGTTTTGGAGAGATCACTTTAGCATCCCAATTGTGTAAACATTATAGGTAAGGCTTGGGAGGGAAATGACTAAGAGGACCTTGAACTCTGCTTGGAAGAAACCCGTGGCCAGAAATGTGTAGACAAAAGGGATTTTGAAGGGTTTGAGGCTAACCCGGAATCCTATGCCAGTTGAGGAATCCATTGTGGCATTGGGGAAGTCCTTTGGGGGTTTGGGGGTTAGTGGGGATGATGTGGAAGAGTGGTGAGGAGGACAATGAAGAACTAACACTGATGAGCTCTAGATCACTTCATCAGCATGAGGCCACCACCTGAGGAAACTGCTCCGGAGGAGGGGAGAGAGAAATTGAGGGGGTTCCTACTTGAAAGATTAAGGAAATGTGTGCAATGTGGCTTAAAGTGCAAACCTTTATGGATGAAAATCACCCTCACACAGCTATTGCAAGCCGTGTTGGCAACCTGTACACTGACAATGTTTTGAACACTTTAGGAATGTCATAAGGAACGGGTACAGGGCCCCTATGGACAGATATGTTGTGCGACAGAGGTCCAGTGACTCTGAAGCTGGTCCTAGTGGCATTAAAAGAAGAAGGAAAGTAACCCCGGAAAAGGACTTGCCACCTCAAGTCCTAATGGAAGGGGATTCCCCTTCTAAACACTAACAACATCAACACTCTCCCCTCCTCCCATCCCATCAGTCATCACCAGATCTTCAATAAAGGTAAGTGTCATGTAACTGTGCATGTCTTCAGTTTGTGTGTATTAAAATTAATATTTCATGTGGTAAAAATTATTTTTTGTTCATACTTTGGGGTGTCAGGAACGGATTAATTTGATTTCCATTATTTCTTATGGGGGGAAATTAATTCGCCTAACGATAATTTCGCCTAACATTGAGCTCTCAGGAACGGATTAATAGCGTTACGCGAGGGTCCACTGTATTGCAAATATTTTCAGTTTGTCCAGAGTCCCCCTTCAATCATGGAGGGTCTTTAGTTAAACTGTAAATATTTGCCCTGTCTCATACTGTGCAACATTGTTCATTCCAATCATATTACTTTTGTTTCATTTTGTAAGTAATGTATAATGCAATGTTAATTTAATTTTAAAGGCTTCGTTGAATATATTTCAGCCTTTCACTCTTAAGCATGTAGATCTAAGTCAGAGGGATCATAATGCATAATTCATAGGGTCCTCAAATTTCTGGAAGAGGGAAATTTTGGCCTAGACATTAGAGAATGGGTCTGTGTGGTGGGTGTGCACAGTAGTATATATAAAAAAAAAATCCTGATCCATGCATTGCATGGCTGGGCTCCGAGAGTAGTAAAACATTGAAGGTATATCGAAAGGTAAAGGTAACTTCTGACACTGTATTTGGGTTAAAATAGCAACTTTTGGGTATTTTTTAGAGTGGTTTTCATGGTTTTATTGGTTATCTCATGGTGTCCATAGATAGGTTAGAAGACATACTGGTGGTATGGTGAGGATTTTAGTAAGTTTCAGACTAGAAGTGGCCTGAAATCAGCCTCAGTGGCATAAATGGTCAATATTTAGCAACTTTCCTTGAAAAGAGTAACAACTCCCCTTCCCCCATTATGTTTTATGGGTTTTTACTAGATCTGCTTCAATTATTGGGATGACCTGAGTCTAGAACAAGCATTCCTGGTTATGGTGTATTGACCAAGAAATAGGGAAAAACATCAATTTTTTTTTTTGTGGTGATGAATTCAAAATGAAAAGCAAGTGTTATTTAAGAGAGGCCTGGGGATGTGATTGATGAACAGGGGGAATGTTGTTTTATTGGCTTGTTTTGAACTTCATTTTTAACCCTTTCAGGGTCCAAGGCCAAAATCTGAAGTCACGCACCAGTGTCCAAGAAATTTTGAAAAAAAAAAAAATTATTTTTTCTTACAGAATTAAAGAGCATATTTTTGTGAAGGTAATAAAACAAAAAAAAAAAAATTTGATCAGTCTTACCGAATACATGCCAAAAGTTGTAAAAAATGATTGGGGGGGGAACACGACGAATTCCCACATAGCGTTTTAAATTTTATTTTGTTGTTTAGTTTTTTTTCTTTTTTTTTCCCCAATTTTTTTCTTTTCCTACTAACATTTGGGGCCTGAGGGGCCAAATCGTTTAAAATTTTTATTTAAAACTCACTGTATTGAACACAATAACCGCACTAAAGTTATTAAACATTTATTGACCACTTTTTGTTTTTTTCCAAAAAACTAAAAAAATATTGTATAATACAAGCTACAATATTTAAAATTTTTAAAATCACTGGACAGGTTTTAAAACTGCTGGAGTTTGGGAACCTTAAAAACAAGGCCCCAGCCAACCCCTTACTTTCCTACACAAAAAACCGAGTGTCTTTGCTCTTTGTTGCCGCGTTTTGGTTTGTGCCAGACAATGCTCTCTTCTGAGCAAATTTTCTTTTGAGTTAAAGGAAGCTGTATTATAAAAAGATCCCTTCTCTTCTCAAACGCTTGGGTATATTGTGATAAATTCGGGGGACCAAGTTGTATTGCAGGTGTTGTTCCCTGGACCATTAGAGTTGTTGAAAACAGACAAAAAAAATTCACCATACGGTGGTTCTTTTACCAGTCTTTTTTTGGGGTACAAATTATTGCTTTCAGCATTAAAAATGTCCATGAGTGGAAAAAAAGTTTCATTTCCACTTGAAACTCTTACGAACCAGTAAAACAAAACCAAATCTGCGCACACTTGTCAACCAAGGGCCAGTTTTGTGTTTAATCAATCCTGTCACTGGTTTTCGAATATTCATTAGTCCTCGATCAATTTGCCCTGTTTTTTGCATTTCATTACGGTGAATGGTTGTCAACAATGTGACATCTCTTTTGTCAGCCCCGTAATGCCATGATGCTTTGGCAGAAAACCCCTGCACGTCATCACCACGAACCCCGGTTGAGCCGGGGCTAGTTTACGTTTAAAACGCCTGTGCCACACACATCTGTTTGTTCACTCGCATGAATCATGAGTAATGGGCTTGTGTCCAGTTATCGGTATTAATGTATGGCCCTTACCGATAAGGTGCCATCATGTTTCTCACTATTCCCCCTGATATACCCTAACATTTGGTATCTTTCAATTTTTTATTTACCGTTATACAACAATATCCAACACCAGGCCACTGTCACTCACGGTCCCAAACAATTTTATAAAAAAGGGGTTCCTCTTGCTCGGTATATACTGCTGAATGAAGTCTACCTTTGAAAAAAATAAAGACCGTAAAATTTAAAAGATTTTTGAATGGAAAAAGTTACCCTAATTTTTGTTTGGAACATAAAAACATTTCAAATCTTGATAACCGTCACTTCTGTCAGGCTGTTTTTCAGAGGTCAACATACGAAGAGTAAAAAAAACCTTTCACTGGTATTATTTCACTGAGGAGGGGGTCAATTACCCCGTCTGGGACCAGTATGTTTTTATTTATGCTTAAAGAGTGAGCATAAGATTATTTTGCAAAAAGCAAATACTTTTCTGCAACAGTCGTCTCTTTCACCTGTGTAGTCTTGACTGTGGTGAAAAGATCGTTTTGCCATGGTTGTACTAAAAATACTTTTACTTTCCCGAAAATATTTTCCCATAAAGGGGTGGTAAAAGAAAAAATTCAAAAAATTTCCCATTCATTGGCCGTGGTTTCCCAAAGGGGGACAGGTAGGTAGAATTACTTTGGAGTCATCAAAGTGGTGAGGGCGGGAAACAAAATTGGGATTTTGCTGCCAATCCAATACGGTTTCTGTGGATACTGGACATCATAGGGGTTTGCGGGTGGTTTTGGCGGGCGGTGGGTGACGCTCCTTTGTCCTTACTGACGAGTCAGCAGCGTGGGTTCCCGGTGGCCAGCGAGTCACCATGGCGGTGCCACTACACCACCAGCCCACTAACCCCACCACTGATGTTTTGGCCCCCTCCATGCCAAGTTAGCCCCAAACATCCTCACTATCACTCCTAAAAGGGGGTGGGCCACGGGATGTACTCCGGGATTTACTACGGGATGACCCCCCGTCCCCCGGGGGATACTAGGGTAACCCACCCGACGATGCGGCGGCGACATACCGAGCTTACTGGTGAATATGTTTTTCACTTCACACTCAATGATGTCGAGCGCAAAAAAATCAAATCACGTCCCCGAATCATCGTCATTATGAAAATCAAGGCCAGACCCCGGGAAAAAATTAGTTTTTTCTTACGTTTTGGAAAACCGACCGTGAGTCACGGTGCCCACACCAGAGGTAGAAGTCGAGTCGTCGGGGTTTTCTGCACTATTACTATCCTGGTCATTATTTTCGGTCCTAATCATCAAAGCCCTAGAATTCGTCTTCATTCCACTTCCTGTGTCAGAAAACTATCGCGGGGAAAAGGAGAGTCCCAATTTTTCGGGGGAGTGAGAGCTGACTTGCGACGAGACATGGTTGAAAAGGGTGACTGACCGGCGTTCCCCCAATGCTATCAGGCGCTGTTTTTTTTTTATGGGGCACACCCACCCCCGCAGACCCCTTTTCTATTGTAGGCCTTGGCGCTTTCGCGCTAAATTTTTACGGCGCTAGAATTTTGGCGTAGATCAGGTTTGGACATCACCCCCAGCCGTAATCTAAGGGACGGACCCGAAAGGGTTAAAAATTTAAAATTTTTAGGGGGATATGCAAACCTACTGGTAGGTCCCCTACAGCTCAACCTTTTTCACTTACACTAGTGGTTGGGGAATGATTTTTCTTGTTCACTTCATCATGGGAAACATGTGATGTATGAAGGGCTTCAGTTATGTTGTAAATTTTATTCTAACCGGATATTAAAATTTCCCGATTTTCTTGTTTTGATTCTGGAGGTGGGTTCATTTTTTCTTGCTTGGTGGCTTTTCCTGTGTTACTTAAAAAATGGTTTTGGGCCCCCTTACAATCTCTTGAAGTTTGGTCCTTTTTTTAAATTTTGCCAGGTTTGAATTTTTCTGGGATTTTGAATGTTTTTTAGTTTTTGTATTCTAGATGCCTGCTGTTGGGTGTATCCTTTAGAAAGATTTTTTTCGATTTTTAAACCTGAGTTAGCCCCCCAGGGTAAACCAAAAAAGTAGTGTGTCATATTGTGGAAAAAATGGGTTTAAAAAACCGACACAAGGAAATATAAAAACATATGCGTATTGGATCCTTTATTGACTAGTTTCGCCCCCAAAAGTGGGGGTTTTTCAAGCACAAACGAATACCCGGGGTGGAAGGAACGCAGTATTATAGTCAGGGTTTGAGTGCTGAGGTAGGTGGGGAAGCTGCATCTGGATGTAACCCAGTGGGGGTTTTGAGTCTAAAATCTTGGGGACTTGAAAGGAGTTGGACAAGTTTGTGAGCGACCTTCTACAGTGATTTATGTGGGATAGCGATGAAGAAGCTTCTTGGCAAGTGGTTCAGCTATGTTATAGAAGCCACTATTCTGGTTGAAGTTGTCGGATATGGAAATAAGTGATGATTCCAGGATTCTTTGGTATTGAGTGTTGTCTTCTGTGGCGATAAGTCTTGAGTTTCTGTAGTTTATCAAGTGATGACTATAAATACTCGCTTCCTTCCACCCCAGGTAGTTCTGTTTGTGACTTGAAAAAGCCCACTGTGTGGGCGAAACGTAGTCAATAAAGGATCACATTATACTGCATATGTGTTTATATTTCCGTGTCATCATTGTGGTCATTTTAACCCTTTCAGGGTCGAGAGGCCCTCTCCAAAACTCGTTCACAGGGTTGAAAATTTTTCAGAAAAAAAAAAAAATTATAAAACATGAAAAAGAAATCTTTTCCCCCATCATAAAGCACCAAAAGTTTGAAATTTGATGGAAAACTTACGGAATTATGCTCTCGCGAAGTTAGCGGTCTCGACTATGTTTACGCATCGGCGATTTCGCCCCTTTGAGCCTATTTGGCCCAAACCCCGTCTAGTCGACAAAAATCAAAATATTTTTGCTGAACTACAATTTTTTTTCAAATAGTCAAGAAACCCCCATTTACCCATTTCAACTATTCAATAAAAACTGTCGAAATTTGCAATTTTTCCCCTCTTACATTTTTTTGCTTTCCCCCTTTGAATTTTTTTTCCACAAAAAAATAGAAGATTTACTGTTAGCAGACTACTGCATTAGGTGAAATTTTATAAATAATATCAGTGCACTTGTAAAGAATATTAGACTCCCAGTTGTTTATTGGACGTGTGGCTGATTTGTTTCTTTTAAACTTTTTTTGGGAAAAAAAACAACATTTTTGCTACTTTTGGCTCAGTTTCAAGGGGACTTTTCATTGCGAAACCAATCAAAATCATCTCGATTTCTTAATATTCATCCTTTTTATAAAATGAACCGGGAAAAATATTTTTTGGGGTTTTAAACACGTGGATAGGGTAAAGTAATACAGTGGACCCCCGGTTAAAAGATTTTTTTCCGTGCAAGAGGGCTCACGTTTTGGAAATAATCGATGCGAATGAATTTAAGAATCGTAGTGAAATAATGTGTGATAAGGCATGGTGGGCTGCCAGTTCGGAACAAAGCGTGAAAAATATTGCGGGAATTCAAGGAACATAGACGTGAAGGACTGAAGCCTGAACAAGTGTTTAAATTTGTGACAAAAAACAGGCTTTTTTGGGAAGAAAATGCAACGGACGTACTTTATAAGGAGGAAAAGGCACCCCCCGGGACATAACCTATAAAAGACAGGCTTACTCTGTTGGTGTGCCAATGCTAGTGGTGATTACAAAGTGAACCCTTTATTGGTGTATCACTCTAAAACTCCCAGGTTTTCGGAAAAAAAATGTCTAAAGGCTAATTTGTTTGTGCTGTGGGGGGGCAAAAAAGTTAAGGCGGGGTCACGGGGGACTTTTTCTATGAGGGTTACACCATGCATTTGCCCTCACTGTGAAAAATTCCCAATTTGAAAAAAATTAGACTTTTAAGTGCCTCCTGTATTAGACAATGCCCCTGGTCACCTTCAGGTGGCGAGCGATTTCTGCGGAAATGGCTTCATTAAGGTAAGTTTTTTCCCTCCTAGTACCCCCCTCTCCGCAGCCATGGACCAGAGGTTTTTCCCAAATTTTTAAAAAAAAGTAACAAAAGCATGTTTGAAAGGTGCTTTGTAGTGACCTCAGAACCACTTGACTCTAAGAGAGTTTTGGAGGTCACTTTAGCATCCTCAATTGTGTAACATTATAGGAAAGGGCTTGGGAGGAAGTGACTAAGAGGCCCTTGAACTTGTTGGAAGAAACTGTGGCCCAGAATGTGTAGAAAAAAGGGGGTTTTTGAAGGGTTTGGGCTAACCCGGGGAATCCATGCCGTTGGGGAATCCTTTGTGGTTGGGGGAAGTCCTTGGGGTTGGAGGTTTGGGGGAATGTGGAAGGTTGGGGGGAAAGGGACAATGAAAAAACTAACATGATGGCTCTAGTCTCTTCTAGCATGGGGCACACTGGGGAAATGCCCCGGAGGAGGGGAGAGAGAAATTGGGGGAGTTGCCTATTTGAAAATTAAGGAAATGGGCAATGGGGTTAAAGTGCAAACCTTTTGGATGAAAATCACCCTCACAAGCTATTGCAAGCCGTTTTTGGGCAACCTGTCACTGACAATGTTGTGAAAAAACTTTAGGGAAATTTTTTTTAAAAGGAACGGGGGGTACAGGCCTCATGGACAGATATGTTTTTGGGGACAGAGGTCCGGACTGAATGGTCCCAGTGGCATTTAAAAGAAAAGGAAATTAAACCCCCAAAAAAAACTTGCCCCTCAAATCCTAAGGAAGGGGATTCCCCCCTAAACCTAACAAAATCAACACTTCCCCCTCCCCCATCCCCTCATCATCCCAGATCTTTAATAAAGGTAAGTGTTTATGTAAACTGTCTGTCTTTATTTTTTGTTTAAAATTAATATTTAGGGGGTAAAAATTTTTTTTTGTTCATACTTGGGGTGTCAGGAAAAAGGGGGTTTTTTTGTTTCCATTATTTCTTATGGGGGAAATTAATTCGCCAACGTAATTTGCCTAACATGAGCTCTCAGGAACGGATTAATAGCTTTTTCGCGAGGGCCACGTATGGGAAAAATTTTCAGTTTGTCCCGAGTCCCCCCTTAAACATGGGGGTCTTTAGTTTTAAAAATGTAAAAATTTGCCCCGTTCATACTGTGGAACTTGTTCATTCAAACATATTATTTTGTTTCATTTTTTAAGTAATGTTAATGCAATGTTTAATTTAATTTTAAAGGGTTTGTTGAATATATTTTAGCCTTTCATTTAAGCATTTAGTCTAAGTCAGAGGGGGTCATAAAGCATAATTCTAGGGTTCAAATTCTGGAAGAGGGAAAAATTTTGGCCAGCATTAGAGAAGGGTCTGTGTGGGGGTGTGACAGATATTAAAAAAAAAAATCCTGATCCTGCATTGCATGGCTGGGCTCCGAGATAGAAAACATTAAAGGTATACAAAAGGTAAAGGAATTTCTGACAATGTTTTTGGGGTTTAAAAAGAAATTTTTTGGTATTTTTTTGAGGGGTTTTTTCAGGTTTTATTGGTTATTCATGGTGTCCTGATGGTTAAAAGACATACGGTGGTATGGTGAGGATTTTAGTAAGTTTCGACTAGAAGTGGCCTGAAATCACCCTCGGGGCAAAAGGTCAATATTTAAAGCAACTTTTCCTTGAAAAGAGTAAAACCCCCCCCCCCCCCCCCCCCCCCCCCCCCCCAAAAACCCCAAGCTTTCCCGGGTTTATGGTGTATTGACCAAAAATGGGGAAAAAACATCTTTTTTTTTTTTTGTGGTGATGAATTCAAAATGAAAAGAAAAGTGTTTTTTAAGAGAGGCCGGGGATGTGTTTTGATAACGGGGGGGAATGTTTTTTTTATTGGTTGTTTTGAACTTCTTTTTTAAAATTTAAAATTTGTGAGGGGCGTATAGCAAACCATGGTAGGTCCCTCCGCCCCAACCCTTTTCACTTACAGCTGGGGTTGGGGGAATGTTTTTCTTGTTCAGCTCTCATGGAAATCATTGTGTGGCTAGAAGGGTTCAGTCTATGTTGTAAATTTATATTCTAACCCGGATATTAATTCCTGATTTACTTAGTTTTGATTCACCTGGCAGGTGGGTTCATTTTTTTCTTGCTTGGTGAGCTTTTCCTGTGTTACTTAACATGGCTGATTGGGCCATTACAATCTCTTGAAGTTTGGTCCTTTTTAATGTCTGCCAGGTTAGTAATTCTTTCTGGGATTTTGAATGTTTTTCAAGATATTGTATTCTAGATGCCTGCTGTTAGAGTGTATCCTTTAGATAAGATTTTGTTCAGATTTTTAATCCTGAGTTTCCACCCAGGGTAACCAATAAAGTCGTGTGTATCATTGTGGAAATAAAAGGGATAAAATACCCAAAAGGAAATATAAAACATATGCAGATAATTATCCTTTTTTGATACGTTTTTCCCCCACAGTGGGCTTTTTCAAGTCACAAAAAAGAAAATACCTGGGGTGGAAAAGGGAAAGCGGTATTTATAGCGGTTCAGAGTGCTGGGTCAGGTGGAGAATGCTGCATTGAGATGTACCGAGGGGGGTTATTTTTGAGCTAAAAACTTGGGGAGTTGGAAAGGGGATTGGGCAAGTTTGTGACAGACCTTCTACAGTGATCATTGGGATAGCGAGAAGAAGCTTCTTGGCAAGTGGTTTTAGCATTTAAGAAGCCAATATTTTGGGTTTAAGTTTTTGGGGTAGGAAAAAAGTGGATTCCAGGGTTCTTTGGTATTTAGTGTTTTTTCTGTGGCGTAAGTCTTGAGTTTCTGTTGTTTTTCAAATGACTGATTAAAAAACTCGCGTTCCCTTTCCCCCCCAGGTATTCGTTTGGACTTGAAAAAGCCCACTGTGTGGGCGAAACGTATCAATAAAGGATCACATTAATGCTATTGTTTTATATTTCCGGGCATCATTGTGGTCATTTTTTAAACCCCTTTCAGGGCGAGAGGCCCTCTCAAAATCGTTCACAGGGTTGAAAATTTTTCGGAAAAAAAAAACAATTATATTTTCTTATGAAAAGATAGAGAATCTTTTCCCGATCATAATGACACCAAAAGTTTGAAATTTGATGGAAAACTTACGGAATTATGCTCTCGCGAAGTTAGCGGTCTCGACTATGTTTACGCATCGGCGATTTCGCCCACTTTGAGCCATATTTCGGCCAATTCCAGTCTAGTCGACAAAAATCATAACTATTTTTGCTAGAACTACAATTTTTC